CCTTGTAACAATGGTTCGATTAAGGTTCTATTAGTTTTAAAACTGTGAAATGGCAGTTCTAGCCACCGGTTCTAATCGTTAGTTTGAACCCTATAAACTGTCAGGGAAATTACCGGCTAAATCGTATTTCGATAATTTCATCATTTTTTCATTAGAAAAGATTAAACACTCTCCTTGGTGAAAAGTATTGTGAAAACATTAAACTGAATTGTCAACAATTTATCTGGCGGGTGAAAAGTTATGGTAGAGCAAGGGCTTTGGTAAACTGGGAAGAACTGCGAGTGAAAAAATCTATGGGGGGCTTAGGAATTATATTCGAGATGCGAAGGTCTGGAATAGAGCTGCAATTTAAAAAAGGTCTGGTGTCTAGCTATAAAGTCCGATAGTTTTTGGATTAAGTTGATACATGTTGTGTGTATAAAGGAAGAAACTAGATAGGAGGTTCAGCCAAAACTGGATAGTAGTTGGCATTGGAAACAGATTTTGGTTCAGCCAAAATTAGATAGTAGTTGGAATTGGAAACAGATTTTGAAGGTTAGGGACCAAGCAAAAACTGGATTCCAGGGAGATAGATGGATAGCTGATAAGGCTAGAAAATACACTGTTGCTTCGGGTTAAGAATGGCTTATGGGGGCAAGGGCAAAATTCTATGGAGCTCAATGTATATGGTCTAGACAGAATATTCATAAGCATGCATTCATTAGTTGGTTGGTCTGGAAACCGAGATTGCTGACGAAAGAGAGTCTTCCGTAAATGCACATTCCTGTGGCAGATGGAGAATGTAACCTATGTCACCTTGCTGATGAATCAGTAGGCCACATGTTCTTTGAATGTACTTTTGCTGCTCAAGTGGTGGACCAGGCACAAAGCTGGCCGGGAAATAGAAGAATATCAAACTGTTGGGGAGATGGCATAATCAAATGGTAACAATCTAGAAAGGAGCTAAGCTAAAAGGTAAATTTTCTTGGCTATTATTGCAGCTGTAATTTACCATGTATTGGATGAAAGAAATCGAAGATTGTCTACTGATGCTACTCGACAAGTGCCTGAAATTCTGAGTGTGGTAAGGTATGAAGTCAAAACAAGGTTCTTTGGAAGAAATCACAGATGGGGTGAAACTGAGAAAGCTATAGACCTATAGCGCGGCAATATTTTTAGGCAGAAAGCCTTGATGAGTATTTTGTAACTAATATAAATATTTAGTGATAGATTATAGAGTAGCATGAAGAAGAGTCTCTTTTTGTAAGTGGTGACAAATGGGTTCCTAAAATCATCAATACAAAGTTTACATTTCACGAAAAAAAAAAAAAAAATTAATCACACATAAACTTAGACAGTATTAATTTGGAACAATTTGATAATAAAATTATTTTAACTAAATTAAATTAGCATCGAATAATCCAAATGATTTCCTTTTTTTGTTTTGGTGAAATGGTAAATATATTAATAATCACAAAAGCACCAAAAAATAAATGTATCGCATCTGTACAAGGACAACAAACTTCTAACAGCTTCAAAATCTCTGAGGCAAACTACACCTCATTGAACAATTCACTTCACTACTCTATTACATAAGAAACTAGACTAAGGACCAGTAGCATAGAAGACTTAACTAAAAAACTGCTGTATAATTACTTTTTCAGTCACAGTTGCCTTTCCACAGCACCATCCCTGGAACTTGAATTTGAGCTCCTGCTGGATCAACTTCAGTATCGTTTCAGAACTTCTTTCCACCCCTCCAAAATGCCTTTTGTTTCACTCTTCCCAAAGGTGATAGATAGTAGCCACAAGGCAGCCAGGAAGACTTTCCTTTTAAGTGGAACACCAGTCCACATGTGAAGCATTTGCTTTTGCCATTGACTGTCAACAGTAGCAATTTTCCTGCACCCAAGCCATAACCTAAGACATTCCAGCAGCCTCATAGAGTAAGTACACCCAAAGAATAGGTGGGCAACTGATTCAGCAACTTGTGGACACAACAGACAATCAGTATTAGCAACAGGAAACTGCATAGCCACTAGTCTGTCCCTAATCAGTAGCCTTTTCCGCCATACAATCCAAGCAACGAAGGCATGCTTAGGCAAGTTCATCTTAGCCCAAATACAGTTAGCATTCTTCAGTTTCACCCCTCCACCAGCAAACCATCTATACCCAGAAGCAATAGTATAGATAGCTTTACTGTGAGCTAACCATTTGTTACCATTAAAACCAGATTTGGCTTGGTCTCTAATCTTCAGCAATTGCTTCCATTGCCAACTGGAGTCATTTTTCGGCATAACTTCCCAAAAATTCTCATGTTTTATGTATATACTGTGAATCCATTTGACCCAGAGTGACTCTTTCTTCATAGCTAAAGACCAAACATGCTTCAAAACCGCAGCCCTGTTCCATAATCCAACATCCCGTATTCCCAAACCTCCTTCTTCCCTTCTTTGACAAACCTCACCCCAATGTACAAGAGGTACAGACCTTCCATTGCTACGAATCCCCCAAAGGAAATCCCAACAAACTCTATTAACAACATTAGTAACACTTTTGGGTAGAAGAAAAATTTGACCCCAATACGAATGCATCGACATCAAAACTGAACTTATCAATACAACCTGACCAACATAATACATGTTCCTAGTTCTCAGCATCGGATCTTGGCTACTATACGGCTGATCACCTCTTCACATTCAGTTTTAGATCATTTTTTTTTTGGAGACAATGAAACACCTAAGTATTTCGTTGGAAACTGTCCCACAGAGAATTTAGTGAAGCTACAGATTTCCTCCTACAATTTATTGTCGCTCCCCAAAGAAAATAGATGATTTTTGCTGGTTGACTACCAGTTCTGAAGTTCTAGAAAACTCATTAAGCACCTTCATTATTTTCCCTACTGTGATCATATTTGCTTTGCAGAAAATCATCAAATCATCTGCAAAGCAAAAGTTGGTCAACTGCAGCTTCTTACACATCGGGTGGAAATGGAATTTATCATCAGCAACATTGCCAAAACAAAGAGAAACGGAGAAATCGGATCACCTTTGCTTAACCCTCGCTTTCCAGGAGAAAAACCAATACCGGAACCATTCAAATCAAGCGAGAAGGTTGGAAAACAGATCCACTTTCTAAATTGCTCCGGGAAACGAAATCCTAATATCATTTCATCTAAAAAAATCCTACTCTATCATATCACAGGCTTTTTTTAAATTTATTTTCATCATCATTCCACTACTGATACCCTTCCTTCTATTCAACCGAATTAATTCTTGGGTAATCAGTATATCGTGGAAACTAAGCCTATTCTCTACAAATGCATTTTGATTCTCAGAGACTAACAATGGCATTAAGTGCTTCATTTTATTACAAAGAATCTTTGAAATGCATTAATAAAGTACATTACCACATGCAATGGGACGAAAAAGTCTAGCATTCAACGAAGCATCAATTTTTGGAATTAACGCTAATATCGTAGTATTATGTTGTTTTAATACTTGTCCAATAGCAAAAAGCTCCTTAATTGCCTCCGTGACTTCCAGTCCTACAATGCTCCATGCTGCTTTAAAGAAACCTGCGCCGTAACCATCCGGCTCGGGGCTTTTGTTGACATTCATTTCCCAAAAGACTGCTTTGACTTCCCCATTTTCCACAGGTCTGATCAAGTTTAGTTGCTGCTGCAAAGAAAGTCTAGGACCAGTTGCATATACTTCAGGAATCGAGGCTTACCTTTGTGAAGACTGACCCAGCAGCTGTTTGTAGAACTTGAGGAAGTGATCTTCAATTCTCTCCCATTCCCAGATTTCCTCTCCTGACTCTTCAACCACACTCCAAATGCAATTTCTCATCTGTCTGACTTTGAGCATGGAATATAACGTGTATTTTCATCTCCCTCCGCCACCCATTGCTCTTTAGCTTTTTGCTGTTAGAAACTCAATGAAGCTTTCCTGACTTGTATGTAACTCTCCATCATTGCTCTCTCCTGTCTCTACAAGTCCTCATTTGTAGGGTCAGAAGCCAGCTGGTCTTGTAAAGCTTGCAGCTTCAATTGTTCAGAGTTGGCCGTATTTACTATATCCTCAAACTGACTCTTGTTCAAAGCTTTCAGAGCAGATTTCAGTCTTCTAAGTTTACTGCAGACCTGGAACATTTTGGTGCCCTTAACATTTATCTCCCAACTGCTCTTCACTATGTTCTGAAACTGAGGCGAATTGCTCCACATGTTGAAGTAACGGAACTGTTTATTTTTCCTCTAAAATTCTACAGACACTTGAACAACTAAAGGAGAGTGATCAGAAACTCCTTCAAAAGCGCTGAGACCACTGAGTCCGTAAACTTGTCCATCATTAACTAATGCACTGTCAAGCTTAGAGCAAATTCTTTCTTTCCCCAACCGTTGATTACACCAAGTATACAATTTTCCTGTCTGTTTCAAGTCCACCACTCCACACTCTTCAAGACAGCCCTTAAACTCTACCACCTCCTGAACAGTCACTGGATTGCCCCCAAGCTTCTCCTCTTGCTTTAATACATTGTTGAAGTCCCCCATGATCAACCATGGCCCATTAATAGTCTTCGATATGCTCACTAATTCACCCCATAACAGTTTCCTTTCCTCTTTTTAATTTGCTGAATATATCCCCGTAAAATAGAACCAGGTATTACCATGACGAGACGTAACCAAACAGTGCAAAGATTGAGCAGTACGATTAACTAATCTCACCTCCAAACTGTCATCCCACCATAAAAAATCCGAGCTTTATCATGACTGCTGGAATTTGTAAACCAAGACCAACTACTCCAGCATTGACTCATATACTTCTCCCCTTTTTCCTTCACCATTTTAGTTTCAACGACACATATCAAATTATATTTATTCACACTAATCATACGTTTCAAGTCGTTTTGTTTAGGGGGGAGTTTAAACCCCTTATATTCCAAGTTAAAATACTATACATGAGAAGATGGTCCAGGTTCAAGCACATAGCTATTTCCAACACCAGCTTCAACATGTGTCTTTACATCGGTAACTGAACAACTCACAGATTGAGGAATTTCTACAGGTGGAGGGAGCATACCAACCATCTCCTTTGAACCAGAAGTAGCCTGTAAGCTCATACCTGCTGTTTGCTCTCCTGCAAACCTTTATCAATCTCATGTTCCTGCTGACTATCACCAACTTCTAACACTTTGCTGACAACCTCCCTCAAAGGGTCAACAGTAGACATGTCCTTACGAAGGATTTCCACTGGTTGTTTCTCCTTAAGCTCAAGAGTCTTAGTAGGTGTGACCTTTCTCCATTCAGGATGAGTCCGCTTAACCTTAATTACACTTCCCCCAACCTGCTGTCTACAGACTTAAGTCACATGGCCAAATCCCTTACAACAGTTGCACCTAACAGGGAGTCATTCATATACTACCTTCTGGGTTCTAACATTACCATGCTCATCTTCGAATACAATCTTGTCAGGGACAGAATCTGTAATCTCCATATCAACCAAGATTCGAGCATACTGGATCCTATCCCAATTACAAGTGAATTCATAAGCAGTGATAGGATAACCAATAGTAAGTCCATGCAATTGGATCCACATAGGGACCCTTTCCACCTCTCTGGTATTTATACCCTTTTCAACGTTCTAAGGTTTAACAATGAGCGGTTCCGATCCAAAGTGATAAAAATGAACATTAAGCACCTCATCCCTAGCTTGCTAAGAACCTAACAACAAAAATACCAGAGGGAAGACAAATCACGTTATCAATACCCAGACGCACCCAGAGCTTTTTGAAATTAGCCTCCATAAGCCAGACTGGAGGATTGGAACCCAGCACAAAACAGGCAACAGACGATTCCCAAAAGGCAGCTTCGACTGGAACATTCTCACTACGCATACGGTAAATTGCTTGACCTGCTACCTTCTGTGGAGGAACGAACTGAAGATTCCCCTATGGCTTCGACTCAATAACAGTATTCAGTAGACTCCTAGGTCTTTGACTCCTCTCATTTTCCACACTTTTAGACCATGATAATTCTCTCCTGGGGCAATTTCTGCATCACGCAATTTTCCAGATTGACACCCATCACTGAGCCGATTGGGACCCTCCAAACTCACACCAATTACAGGAGTAGTTGGATTGCAATCATTACCCCCAATTTTGCCGAAGCACCTTCAATCGCAGCAACCAATTTGCTGAGTTCATCCTTTTGCTTCAAAATGGTTTGCCGTGACGATCCTTTCACTTTAGAGCTCTCCCCAACATCAGATCTACTGCTCATACTTGATTTTGCCGTCACCGGAGGATTTGCCTTCCCCACATTTACTTTCCTCTCCTTCTTTTTACGGCCAGCCATGGCTGGCGTACGTTAAGCTAACGTACACCGAGAGCGAAGAGAGAGAAAGAAAATGAAGAGAGAGAAGGCTTCAATCCAAATGATTTCATAAGTATAAATAATCAATAATTGAATTTCAAAATAAACTGAAACAAATGGCAATTCCGTAAATTAGGAACTTTTTCAGCAATTGGGCACTTTATAAAAATTAATTTTTCAGATGTGGCACAAAACATAAAATACAAAAATTTAGGCAACTATGTGAAACACCTTTCTCAATTGTGGTCAAAATCAATTTCGGAACATTTCAGGGTAAAGTTAAGAAACATCTTTCTTAGGGGTCAATAAAGGAAACAACTTTCCAATCGGGTGACGATTTAAATATGGGAACAATTCCTAGAGAGACCAATTTTGTAAATAACAAAAATTTACAATTACAGTTTCCTAAAACCCTTCCGCCGATGCTGCTAATGTCATCACATACCATCATCATCTTCAACCTTCAGTCGCTGCAAAATTGAATTCGTGATTTTCCGATGTCAACCCGAGCTGAACACTTCTGTTTTCAATGGTTTGGTGGCCAACGTCAACCGGTTCATCTTCCTTGTAAACAGGAAGTAAACAAAAATATCCAGCAAAAACTTTTCCCAAAATAGTCTGTTGCAGAATCAATATTTTTGATATCTACTTTCGAAGACATAACTCAAATTTGTTTAAAAAGTTCAAATAAAAATTTTAAAAACACACGTGAACAGTTCGAAAAGGTACATATCACTTATACGTCAAATATGCATACGGCTGCATAAATTTCGCAAGTGACTCTGATATTATTGTAGGATTCGGATCACATAATTAAACAAATATGCATATATAGCAGAATCAATGAACCCTAACCAGGAACCAAGCGATCTAAAATAGTTAGTATAGAAATACCTTTCACCGAAAAACGGACATGAATAGTCACAAGCAACCAAAATAGATTGCCTCTATCAGTATCCACTCTAAACAACGGGACTTTGGATTTCTTCCATCTACATCATCATGCTGGCGATCGACAGAGAGAAGTTAGCAATACCTTAGTAGGCGGCTGATCGACTAACGTCTTCCACCAGATATTATATCATATATAACCATAATGTAGTCTTAATGTCAAAAAGACTATTATTCCTTTGATATCTTAATAACAGATTAAAACCTTTATCTTTATTAAGTTGATATTCATTCCCTTTAATATAATAAATCCAAAACGTTGACCAATTCAGTGTGACCTAATAGAATCCTATAACGTTGGCACTAACACAATATATTTTGTCATGAGACATAAAACCAATCCTACCATGGTATCAGGTGCACCTAAGAATTTGTCGATTTTTCCATCTTGAATCCGAAGAAGTTGGTACAAATAATGTAACCGTATACAAACAAACAAGCATTTCTGATAATAAAATATACAGAGTCATAAAAGAAAAAAGTACATCCAATGGAGGACGAGACAACATTTGAAAATTGGAAAACAAGGAAAAAAGATAAACAATCACCCCATCAAATTGCATCACAATATTTGGTTATGCAAATTTGGATAAGGCAATTGAAATCATTACATTTAAAAGAATAACAAACACACATACATTTAAGGAATTACGAAACATGGAGGTACGGATCAAATTGCATCCATGTTATACAAGAAAACATTGGAGCCAAAATACCAAATAACAGTGTACGCACGATCATCCGTTTCCGTAGCACCCCACACCTAGCCTTCAGCAGAGATCAAGATTGACAGCGTTACAGACACCGTCAAATAAGGTCTCTGCGGCGTTAGCAGTCACCTGTCCTTCCGCAGATACCAGCGGCAATAGCGTCACCCACGGTCTGTGCGGTGTTGCTGACGGTAGAACTGACCACGGTGACGGCATCGCCGCAGTCACCTGTCCTTCCACAGATACCATCGGCAACAACGTCACCGGTGGCCTTTGCAGTGTTGCTGACGGTAGAAGTGACCGTGGTGACAGCATCGCCACAGTCCCCTGTCCTTCCGCAGATTCCATCGGCAATGGCGTTACCTGTGGCCTTTGCGGTGTTGCTGACGGTAGAAGTGACCACGGTGACAGCATCGCCACAGTCGCCTGTCCTTCCGCAGATACCATCGGCGATGGCGTCACCCGTGGCCTTTGCGGTGTTGCTGACGGTAGAAGTGACCACGGTGACAGCATCGCCGCAGTCACCCGTCCTCCCGCAGATATCATCGGCGATGGCGTCGAGCTTTCTGGGAGTCGGTCGAAGAGCCTCTGCCTTTGGCACCATGCTGGAACCTGCAGGATCAGGGAGTCATTAAATATTTACATGAAACATATCTTTTCTTTCACATCAAAATCAAATAAGTCCGGCCCAAACATAGAGTTTAAATTGATTATTACACTAACATGAATACTATTATTTACCAAAATGTTACAATCCCGTTAGACTTGGAAAACAAACAAGCGCAAGACACTTGTCTCGCATTGGAGACTATACATATTAAATTCGCATGTGGTACTCCACTTATTACTAATTCATTTTGATATAAAACCAGGTATATAATAATCCAGAAATTGCAATAGAAAAGAAATAAGGGAGGTTTGTGATGATTTTTCAATCTTTTCTACTAGGTAATTTAGTATCCTTATGCATGAAGATAATCAATTCGGTCCTTGTGGTCGGACTCTATTATGGATTTCTGACCACATTCTCCATAGGGCCCTCTTATCTCTTCCTTCTCCGCGCTCAGGTTATGGAAGAAGGAACCGAGAAGAAGGTATCAGCAACAACTGGTTTTATTACGGGACAGCTCATGATGCTCATATCGATCTATTATGCGCCTCTGCATCTAGCATTGGGTAGACCTCATACAATGCTGTCCTAGCTCTACCATATCTTTTGTTTCATTTCTTCGGAACAATCACAAACACTTTTTGATTATGGATCTACTAACCGAAATTTAATGCGTAATCTCGGCATTCAATGTGTATTCCTGAATAATCTCATTTTTCAATTATTCAACTATTTCATTTTACCAAGTTCAATGTTAGCCAGGTTAGTCAACATTTATATGTTTCGATGCAACAACAAGATGTTATTTCTAACAAGTAGTTTTGTTGGTTGGTTAATTGGTCACATTTTATTCATGAAATGGCTTGGATTGGTATTAGTCTGGATACAGCAAAATCATTCTATTAGATCGAATGTACTTATTCAATCTAATAAGTACCTTGTGTCAGAATTGAGAAATTTTATGGATCGGAGACAGGAGTGGCCTTACAGATTGCTAGGAGACAGAGAACAAGAATGACATTAATGAAGGCGCAACCCTTTGCCATTTGAGTGAGGCTTTTATTTGAGGAATGATGGATCCAAGTAGATTAAATGAAGAGAGTAGGCTACTTAAAATGAATAATACTGTAGCTGCTTGGGAGAAAAAGGCTCGAATGTTGGCTGAATTTATAGAGAGCAATTTCTGTAACACTTTTCACTGATCTATAATATAACTTGCCAACTATGCACTGATTGATTTTGATTAGCATCAATATTAAGCGGCCAAAGTAATGATGAGGGGCTAATTAAGTCCTGCGTAATCACCGACACGATCAATTTGTCAGTCAAAGAATCGCGATTAAGATTCGATCTATTAAAAAATCTTCTAAGTTAACACTGAAAAAGAGAGTCAATGATATTTTGCCACACCACGCTCCCATATTTTTGTATATTTTATTCAAAATCGATCTCCATAATTAACTTGGTTACTACTCCAAATCTTCTTCGCGGATCACGCACTTATCGGAAGACCATGTGGACGGAATTACAAATTCCAGCTAGCTCGCTGATCCTCTGTAATTACCAAAATATCCATGTAATAAAACCCTAGTATTCGATTCTGTCCTGTAACATCAAAGTGGTATGCCACATTCCAACTCGTGAAAGACCTCCATTTCAGTATTTAAACTGTCCCTAAATTTTATTTTATTTTTACTTTTTTACTGACAAAGAATTTTTCCTCATGCTTTTCTGCGCTGCTGGTCAAATTAGACAATTGATGAAATCCATAATATGCATATTAACTTCACAAATGAAAATGATGGAATTCGGTGGCAACCGACACAATCTGGAACTTCTCCACTGCTTCCTGCCCCTCCCCAACCAAAAAGAAAAAAGAAAAATAATAAATATTACAAAAGAAATTGTCCATGCGTGAAAACAAAAGTTGTCATACATGAACAACATTCACATAAAGATGAACCAGAAGACACTGCCTTGCAAGATTGAAGGCTGGATGTTGTTTTGTACAGTGTATAATTTTTCAATTTCATAGGTCAATTTGTTAATATCTAAAGTATGTTTAGTTATAAATATTCCATCTGTATAGATTAAGTCAGTTCCTGATGTATATATATTATTAAGTGCATCCGGTTAAGTTAGTTACTAAGGTCCTGTTTGATAAACCAGTTTAGCACTTAAACTTATTAATTAAGTACTTAATTGATTAGCACTGTTTGATAACACACTATCATAACAACTTAATTGCTTAAGAACTTAATTTATTAAGAACTTAAATTTTAAGTGTGTTTGATAACTCAAAGTAGGATGTCTTAATAAATTAAGTGGGTCTGAAATACTAGTACAAATGTAAGCCTAAAAATAAGTGATAGGCCTATCACTTATGTCTGAACTGAATTGTTGAGACGATTTGTTTCCTATTTATTTATTTTTATGTTTCTACTTTTATCTTGAAATATTTTTATTAATCATGATGTCTAGTTCTAAATTAAAATTTATGTAAATTATTTTTTATTTAGTAAATATTTATTTTTATATAAAAATTAAAATCCATTAAATTCCATGATCAATATATCTTTAACATAAAATATGAATTTTTTTTGACAATGATAAAATATGACATTATTATTAACTGAAAAATAATAACATAATAAAATTTAAATATTTTTATTACATTATTTAATACTAATATTATTATTTTTGTTATCATAGTTTCATATACATCAATTATTTTTTTAGATAAAATTATAAATCGAGATACTTTAAATTTCAGTGTTCAGACTTCAGATTTCAGACATTTTATTCAGTGTTTAAATTTGGTTTTTATCAAACACGACAAACTTAATCAATTCAGTACTTATGATTCAGTCTTCAGATTTCAGACTTCAGACCCATATTAAGTTTTATCAAACGGGCCCTAAGACACCTTAATTATTCGTAATCAATGGCCAAATCTTCTAATCCAAGATTCAGTTGAAAATCTAAACCGAGAGATCGTATTACATTAGATCGGAGCTCGATCTGCGAAATTGAACCCGCAGCTCTGGTTTCTAAATCCTGAAATTTGAAGTCTGTGAATAGAATTTGTTCGCAAAATGGCGGCGAATCATGCTGGAAATCAGCACAAGGAAGCGAAGAGAAGATCGAGAGGCCACGCACTACGGCGGTTATCTGATAACGGTTAATTTGTTACATAAAAGCATGGCAATTTACTCTTTAATTAGTAGGAAATTAGGGGTGTTTTTCAGAATTAGTTCATTTTACTTAACTAGTTTTGTATTTTTAATTAGGCAAGGACCTAAGTGAACATTAGCTGAAAAATGGGGCTTTTGGAACAAAAATATGGGCTGATGAATTCAAGCTGGCTGATCTGGTAAAAAAAAACTCCAAGGCACAAAGCACCTTGAGAGTAATGAGGGTGTCCCACCTTAGAACCCCAAGAGCATGCTTGTCCCCTTGGCTCACCCTTGTGATCAATGTAGCTGCTGATACCACCTCTGGAAGAAGAAGGAAAGACCAGTCAATTCGGGGTTCAAGACACAAAGCATTGAGGCAATTAAAAAATACACAAGCTGGTAGTCTATTAACAAAAAATTATGTGATTTAGCTGTCCTCGTGGGATCGACCTAGCTTTTATTATCTACAAAAAGTTATAATCCAGCTAGTATATATTTTTGGTGAATTTGGCACACACCAGAAAGTGGTGCCGTTGACGGGGACGGCGTAAAACCTCCAGACATTTGTTGTTTTTTTCATTTGTGAATATTAAAAACAAAACAACCCTTCTTTGGTTATTCCACTGAGCTTCTAATTTCTTTTCTTTGGTGTATGACTGGAAGGCACCAACGGAGTGAACCAGTTTTTGATCCGGAAATTGAAGCTACTATACGCAGAGTCAGAGCAGCAAAAAGAAAGCAAGATCGGTTGCAACAGAACCGCCAAGAAGGTTCATCAAAAATGGCTAACCAAGGTGGTAACCCGAAGAACAATAAGAACCCTGGTGGTGATCGACAGAATCAACCTGAGAGATTGCTCAGAGATTTCTTTATTCCACAAGAAGAAGAAGTCCAATCCCCATTAGTATTCCCTGATGTGGAGGCAACCAATTTTGAGTTAAAACCACAGATGATCCAATGGACTCAGTCAGCCTGCACATTCATGGATTACCTCATGAAGATCCTAATGATCATATTAGAAATTTCTTGCGTTTATCTAGTACTTTTATGATTCAAGGCTTATCTAATGATGACATTAGATTGAGGTTATTTCCTTTTACTTTGCAGGATCAAGCCCAAGCATGGTTCAACACATTGCCCAACAAATCTATCTCCACTTGGGAAGAGTTAAGACAAGGCTTCCTTACAAAGTTTTTTCCACCTGCAAAAGTTGCACAACTAAGAACTGCAATAATGAATTTCAAGCAGCATGGAACAGAAACACTCTATGAAGCATGGGAAAGATTGAAGGAAATGATCAGAAAATACCCTCAACATGGTTTGGAATAGCACCTCCAACTGAGCATCTTCTACAATGGTTTGCTACTAGCCACAAGAGACTCGCTTGATGCTGCAACTGGTGGTGTGTTCATGATAAAGCCGGTTGATGCAGCAAGGCAATTGCTTAATAATATGACCACCAATCATTCAAGGTGGCAATCTAATCCAAGAGCAAGCACAAAGCAACCAGGAGTAATGGAACTTGACCCCAGTACACACCTGCAAGCACAGATGGCTGTGATAATGAATGAGATGACAAAACTGAGGAGTGAGCTGTCCAAATCCAAGGCTGAAGTGTGTGTGTTATGTGATGGATCTCACAATTTGGATAACTGTCCATCCAAAATGGAGGTTGTCCAGTTTGTTAGGCAGGGCAATGCTGGAGGATTCAACAACTTCAATAATTGGAGAAATCAGCAGCACCCCAACTGGAATAATGCACCACAACAAGAAAACTATCAGAGGCCTACTCAACCCCCAGGATTTCAAAGACAAGATGGCCAACCTTCCAATTATCATAATCAACAGCGT